GAGGAACATCCTGAAGTTCAGCAAAGGAAAGTGCCACGTCCTGCTTGTGGGGAAGGATAGCCCCTTGCGTCAGTACATGCTGGGGGCCAACAAGCTTGAGAGCAGTGTTGCAGAGAAGGACTTGGGGGTCCTGGTGGACAACCAGATGAACACGAGCCAGCAATGCGCCTTTGTGGCAAGGAAGGGCAACGGTATCCCGGGCTGCATGAGGAAAAGTATCGCCAGCAGGTTGAGGGAGGTGATCTCCAGAGGTCCCTTCCAACCCCAACTATTCTGTGTTAAAATTCTGTGAATTTGAGGAGGATAAGGAGGGGTACGAGAGCTTCAGAAAGACTTCAGGAAGATGTGGAAAGCTTTGGGTAGGATGTGGTAGAGGAAGAGATTTTGGACTAAACACTGCTTCCTGCATTTCAGTGTTTGAGCAGCTCTCGCACCTCAGAGCCAGTAACTGGCTCTTTTGTCCTCTTGGGGCTGAGATATTTAAAGAAGCTAGCCAAAATTGTTAAGTCAGACTCTTCAAAAATAGGACAAAGATTGACTGAAAAGCAAATAAATAACAATCCCATCCTTTTAAAACATTGGAAAATGGGATTATTAATTTTTCATTCTTGGCATTTCAAGGTCACATCGTAAAACGCATCTGTTACTTCATCAGTGATAGAATAAGTCCAAACAGCATGACTTTCTTTAAAGCAGTATCCTTGAAAAGTTAATTGTCTAAAAGGTTTCAAAATGTTAATGGAAAAAGAAGAAATTGGATTCCCTTGGACTCGGAGAACTTTTAGTGAGATGTGTAGCTAAAAAAATGTGTGAAAGTATATGCTTGTATGTTTCCTTTAACTCCTGGAAAGCTATAGTTTTTGTTTTTTGTTTTGCTATGCTTTTTTAACAAAGAAGGAGAACAGCAATGCAGGAAAATGGAATATAGCCTATTTACTTTCAACATATTTTGTTCCTGTATCACAATTACGTGTCATGGACTGGTGATCCGTTTGCCCAGGAAATCAGCAAAAATCTCACTACTAGCTTTCATCTGGTTTTCTTTCTCTTCATAGGTCAGCTGTAACAAGGGCCTGTTGTTGTCTAAAACACCAACCTAGCCGAAGCAGGAAGCTCTGAAAGGGAAGAGGCTCATGTTCTTCATTTGTTATTCTAGCTGCTTACTTGCAGGAGTCTTGCATTTCTTAAGCTGCATCCACATTTTTGGGACTTGCCAAGGCTTGCTGGGGAGTGACCGAACAGCTGGGTGCCAATTTACTGCACACTCCCTACTCTGCACTAAGTCTCTGCGTAACCCTCTGACAGGAGCATAAGCTATCACACAAAAAAGAAGAACTGAGCGTGGGAAAAGTGTGTCCATAATTACCACCTTCTGCTGTTCTCCTCTTTCCTGGCTTATGGGACCGCTTCCAGGTAACTTAAATGAGAAGTGGCACAGATACTGGAGCAGTGGGATTTCTAGACATCTTAGATTTTTGTTACTTCCTTTGCTAAGCAGACTTTCCCATTATTCTGGAAGTTACAATCTGGAAGCTGGATGAACTGAACATTTTCTCCAATTTATGTACAACGGAGACACTGTCTGGTATTTTTAAGGCAAAATAGTTTTTTTTTTTTTTAATGTAAGATAGAAGTATTGTGTTTGGCTTGTAAAGTAACATAGTTCTAAGTTTCTGATGCTTCACTCCGATGTTTTCAGTGACACTGAGCTTGTGCGAAACTGGTACAACTGCAGGGCAGATGAGATTCCACAGATTTCTTGCCTTTGGTTAAACGTTGAAACGTAGAGGTTTACTGCTAAGACATTTCCCTACTGTGCTGCAAAGTAAAACTGCTGCGAAGTTATGAGTTTTGAGTAGAAAGTCAAACTGGCAAGTCTAGTTTCATCATTTAACTTAATTATCTACAAAATAAAAATAATCAACAGGAATGGAAATTGTAATGAAACTATGAATGAAATAATTTGTATTTTAATAAGCCACAGTTTCTCTAAGATTATAACCAAATTACTATCTTGACCATGTTTATTAAGCATATCTGAAATAGTAATATCTCATGCAATGTAATACGTGGAAATCTCTAGGATGTCCAGTGTAGTAGAAGATTCAGTACCAGATTGAGTGAATAAGAAAGTGGAAGGCAAAAACTTAATGGTCTTGTGATTCAGTAGGAAACTAAGCTGACTTTCAGCGTACATTAGAATTTAATGAAGACATTTTAGGAAAATGTAATATAATATTATATAAATGGAAAAATTCTTACTGTCTTCTAAGTTAAGTCCAAGGGTTTTTTTGTGTTTATTTAAAACATCCAAATTAGCCTTCGATTCAGCCAACTAATCCTGTGGTTGGCAGAACCTGGAATTTCCGTAGCATTTGGAATTCAGTATGAATGACTAAAAATATTCTTCCCTGCAGTTTTTTTTTTGGTTTTGTATTTTTTTTCTTTTTTAGAATTGCAACGCTTGAACAAAGAGCTTCAAGAACAAAGATACAAACATTGGGAAACACAGAAGCACATAGTAACCAAAGCTGAAATATAAGCTAGAGCAAGGAGCATACTGGATGACAAAGGAAGATAAAGGATTGTTAGTCTTTGGAATTTCTGCTTATAAATGGAGAGAGAATTTCTGGGCAGTAGAACAACAAAATACAGTATATTTTGAGGCAGAGAGGAAATATAGCTGTAGGCATGAAACACCCAATCTGCTTTATTTAAAGGTCAAATAAGAAAAAAAGAATGGATTTCACAGTGACTGTAATGAATGATTATTTGAAGTTTCTGCAACTAACCCATCCTATTCAGCAGTGTTACTTGAAATGGCATTCTGAGAAATGCTCTGATTGACACATGCGATACCATTTCAAGTCCTTGTTTCAGTACTATCCACTTCTGTTGTTGAGTCAGTTTGTTACAGTTTTCCGCTCCTCAAAATGACACTGAAGATGTGTCTATTGGGAACTTGTTATTCTATTACTGAATTAACTGCAAAGTTGTTTATATACTCAGCAGCACTGCTAGTTAAAGCAGAGGTAATGAAAGACAGTTATGGATCATGCCAGAAAGGAAGAAAGTAAGGATTTTGAAGATAGTGCATTTAAATGCTTTAAAGAGAGATATTCAGATACTACAGTCGGAACAGACCATTGTGGCAATTTGATTGGACCTTCTACATAACACTGATGAAATGGATGGCATCTTAGACCATGTTGTTACAAACACTCACACGCACTTAACTTAAAGCACATGAATATTTTATTTGTAGACACTGAGATTTTCTAAGTTAAGAAGATTATAGAACATTTATAGGACAGATGTTTTAAAGGACTCACATTATTATTATACATACTATTTTTTATTTAAATCATTTATCACAATAACTTATTTCAATAGTAAAAAAGACAGAAAGAAACATTTTTAATTGTGAGTCCAGAAATGTATGTTATTTGAAAAGCAAAGGAAAATAAAGAAGAACTTGCTGTGTATTCATATCTTTGCTTTTGACATTTTCAAATGCAGCCAAATAAATCACTCTTATAATTTCACCTTGATAATATATTACTTTATATCATGAAAGGAGTTTAGAAGCAAGCTTTAATCTCTGCTGAGTATTTGGACAATTAATCAATTCTTTTTTAATAATGGGAAGGAATACTTCCTGAAGAAAAAGGCAGTTGTTTGAATTAGTTTGAAGAAAGAGTTAATACTTTGAAATGTAATTTCATCAGCCTCCATGAGATATGAAGGCCAGACCTGACTGATCTTGGACGAGAGGAAAACTTAAGGAAAACTTAAGATTCTGTATAAAAGGATTCAGTGTCTGTACCCACTTGGTGTTTTACAAGAGCTTAGGGGTAATATTAGAAGTATATGGAAGATGCCACTTTTGAAATGAATCACTGAACTAAAATACTCTGCTAAGAAATTAAGTTAATGGAGTGGTGGTAGGGAAACTGTGATTTTTGCTGAAGCATTGTATTACTGAAAAATTTCAAACCAACTCACTGCTTTTAGAGATTAGATAAACCACAAATAATTCATGTATGATTGAGGGACTTTGGTTTCAGGGTTCAGGCTATATTCCGAACAAAATTATGTTCTGTCTATCTACCTATCTTAGGTTCACCTGGAAAATCTCTTCTTTGCTTCCTGTTTTTAATCATTCTGCATTGTTGTTGGACACCCGCTCTGTTTTGGTTTTTTAACTACATTGGTGAATTTACCTGGGAAGGTGCACACTATTGAATGGGCACATGCAGTTATATACTGCTCCTAAGGCATGATGTTATGCTGAAAATTTTTCTGACTTTAGTAAAATAAAATCAGACCCTTTGATTAAAAGCATTTTATAAATACAATGTTTGTTACATGAATCTAATGATTTTATAAATGTAAGCTTACAGGGTCATGAATTATAAAAATCTATGAAATGTAAAGTCTACAGTACAACAGTTCATGTTTTATTGTACCTAATAGTTCTTCATTATGTTTCCAGGATGGAACAAGAAGCTACCCAGCTAGAAAAGCAGCATGTGCATAGCGTATATGAAAATACAGCTGCCTACTTCAATGAGCTGCAGAGCAAAGCGTGGCCTCGCGTCCGTCACTTTCTGCTGGAGCAGAAGCCTGGCAGTCTTGTTGCGGACATAGGTAAACCATTCCTTTGGTGCACTGAAATATTGTCTAGAGACTTTATATGTTAATTGTATGTATCTTCCAGACAATTGTTTTTAAAACCTTTTAATTCATCTTTTAAAAAATTTTTTTAAATCGTTTTTAAAATCATACTAGATGCCATGTACCACTTATTTTATTGCTTTGATAGTGCATCAGGTAGCCGATACATACAATTTTTACATTATTTTGATTGAGGTAAGCCTTAATTTACTGGTTTCCCCAGCCTAGACCTAGTGGGCTGTGGTTTCCCTGGAGACATTATAAAAAACAGTGTTAATAGGTCAATTATTTCATTTTTCATTTGTTAATTTGTTCCAAAACACCTCCTATCCAGGCTTTAATTTGAGAGAAATCTTCTAATGTGTGCACTGTTAAAAAAAAAAATGATAATGTGAGAATCTCCCTATGATCCTGAATATGGACAGCAAAACCTCATTTTTTTTGCTACGGCCTTGTCTTCTCTACATGCTCATTTTATAACTTGACGAACTGGTGAACCTACGGACTCTTTAGGGGCTTCCAGATCCTGTTGTGTTTCCATTGTGTTTTATGAATTCACACATATAGAGTACATCACTCCAAACCAGATATTCCTTTGCACGACTAGATTTTCCCTACTCTTTAGCCTAATAAAGCATTTTTACACAGCAAATTATAATATATGTATAAATACATTACACATCTGTCTAGTCCTATCAGAGGAAAGTATTCCTCAAAGATCTTATAGGTCATAATCTAAAGATTATGACAGCTCTCCCACTGCTGTCAAGCCTAGTCCTCTCAAAAGTTATTGGGCTCCTATTATTATGCCTGTGTATCTTATTCTATGTATCTGCAACATTTTGACTAACCATCTCAAGAAGTATCCTGTAGTGTCCACTCATCCAGCAGTCAGCTTAACAGGATATTTCTCAGCCAAAATTTTTTGTCACCTCTATAGGAATTATTTGAAGCCTTGCTGACGTTCTTCGAGGCTGCACCAGCAGGCTTCATAGTGACTGCAGAAAGCTTAAGATCACCCCTTTATAGTTTTAGCTGAAATACTTTTAACACATATTTGATGCATCTGCAGGGAAGGTAGATGCTTACAGGTTGCCAATAAGAATATTCCTATCCAGGCACTAAAGGTACTTACGTTTATGAGGTGTAATGTGACCTACAGGAATCTGCCTATAGCATTCATTTTTGAATATAACATTTCAGGGAGGGGTTGCCTGGTGGCACCAAAATTTTGAAAATGAGATTATCAACTGATAATTTCCTTTTCTGTTTAATACTACCTAACATTAAAATACTTTTGTTTGCTAGCTTTACATGAAGCATGATAATGGTACCAGAATAAAACATCCCTTTAAAAGGCCTAATTGCCTTATTAATGTTTCTTTGTCAGAATAAATGACAGTAGCATGGCAATGGTTAATAGCTTCATGAAGGCATCCAGCCTCCTGTTGACTCACTTTAAAGTGAATCTCCTGTAAATGTAGAGTTTCAGAGTATCAGGAGTGTTATCACTACTTGGCTTCATTCCAGAATGGACCCCATACTCCAGAGTACCCACTTTGATTAAAATACACTCTGCCAAAAGCTGTGTATTAAGCGGCTGAAACGTCTAAATTAACATACGCATAACTTACATATTTAATTGAGTGTGTTCCTACTACAAACACAATAACCAGTAATGTTTTATGCTAATTTTAAAACTCACACCTTCTTAGTAATGTGTAGAGCTTCATGTTGTATTGCATACCATTCTTGAACTGCATTAAGAATATTAATCTTTTTCATTTATATCAAGTATTACTTCAAAGAAAGATGCTCGCTTTCTGCTTTAGAAATGTGCTCTTTTTTCACTACTGAAGTGTTGTGCTGCTCTCCAACAGTTCCTGTGCTGTCTCTGTAGATAATGGTGCCCATTAACATCAACAAGAGCAGCAGTGCTGCAAGAAGCAGTGATGTTTCTAAAGATAACTCCAGGCCTTTAAATTGAATTTCCAATGCTGAGATGGTTCTCTTTGCCAAGCTGCTACCCTGTTGCTTGGCTGTCAACTTTCAGAAATTATTCTTCACTACTGACCCATAACTGCAGTGAGTGTTTCCTAATCTAATTTTGAAAAGTGCCCGTTATGCATAAAATATTGAAGAACACTCTGAAAGATTTCAATTTAGTATAACACGGTCCTTTAGGAGACACACTTTTAGGTGGAAGACATTCTGGAACTGTTCATTAAATTCATATGTATGATATATAATGTTCGTAATGCATTGAAACAGAGACAGAAAGAGAATGTGCCTGTCACATGGGAGAAATTTTCATGAATCACAGTTATTCTCTCTATATCTGAAGTGAAAATTCTCCTTTCTGACTTGTGTCAATCACAGTTGTCATTTAGCATTTCTTGGAGAGAAATCTTTTCCTCTGCTTTGCAATCACAGAGCTCTGCCTGGCTGTAGATCTGGGTGGGGTTGTTAACAGGACATGAAGCATGGTCTGTGATGGCTTCAGTATGGAGACCTAGGTGTGGGCCAATCGATCCACATCTTCATTAGTTCTTCTCCCTCGCATCTGCTCTCAATAGGATGCTCTGGATGTAGTGTGTGGGATTTAGCAGAGACTGCACTGGAAGAGAGATCTATTGCAGGTCACTAAAAAGACAAACCCTATTAGTTTTGGGAAATCCCCTGAGCAGAAAGTAGTTAGAGACTGGGATGGTATGGAGGAAAAGGATCATAGATGCTCACCCTGTTCCTGCTCTTTCCTGATGCCCGTTTACGGTCATTGCTGGAAACAAGATACTGGGCTATATAGCGTCAGTCTGGACCAGCATGGCTTTTCTCTTGTTCTGAGGTACGCAATAGTGGCTACCGAGGGTCTGTAAGTACCTGCCACCTGCGCTCACCCTTCTTCCCCAAAGAAACATGCATAACCTGGTATTACAAAGGGCTACGCAAAGTGATTTTTGTTGGTGATGTTTATGTCATGCTACTCCTAATGGTGTAACACAGAATTTCAAATAGTCCAAATGAATCCTTTGGGAGTGAGGCTAGTAGGAGCAAACCGACATTTTGTTTTCCAGGAAACGCTTGGATTAAGAAAGACACCCCACTTATCCTCCCCTCCCCCCAAATATTTTCACTGCTTTGGAGGGGATAGCAAGTGTTCATAACATATGACTTCTGTTCTAGTAAAGAGTATTCTTGTCTTTTCAGGTTGTGGAACTGGAAAGTATCTCAGTGTCAACAGTCAGGTGTATAATCTCGGCTGTGATTACTGTGAACCGCTGGTAGAGATTGCAAGGAAGAAAGGTGATGAAGTTCTGGTATGTGACAACCTTAACCTTCCCTTTAGGCATCAGTGCTTCAATGCAGTCATTTCCATTGGAGGTAAGAGATTATCCATGCATTCAGTCCCATAGAAAATGGGAAATCTTATGGAACCTTTTCTCTCCATGTGTCTCCATTTCAGTTAGGTTTGTTTTGAAATAATTCCCTTAGAAGCACAGCAGATATTCCTGAAGTGAGTGTAGTAAACACGAAAAAAAATAGGTCCATTGCACAGTGGTTGATCAGGGAAATATGTGGATCATTTGTTTGTTTATATGTGGCCTTGTCTGCCATGTGGAGAAAAGATTTCTTTCCAACATGCATTTTAAACAAGTAAAAACTAGTATAAACAATGCTGCTTATAGTTTAAACACATTAGGTGGTCAAGATAAACTCTTGGTTCCTCCTTAGGATCTGTTTTGACCAGCAAATGCATTGAAACGAAAACTTGCTTTGTGGAGACCAGGACCTGAAACTCATGTTACTGAATACAAATTTGTCTTAGAAAGTCATAGAAGTAAGAATTTAGAGCCGCCCAAGTTCCTGTTATCTAAAATGAGTCAAGAATCTCAAGGTCTTAATTCCTCTGATCCCTCTTTTTGAAAATACTATTCATAATTGAGAGGTGTAAAGTGAGGAAAGGGTCAGTGAGAAGGAATAGGAGAGAGAGAGGAAAGGGGAAGAGAGAGAAAGAGAGAGAGGGAAAATCCAATTACAGGCTGCGTTTTAACTCTGTGCTTCCCTGAGCTCCTTTCAGACTATTTCATCGTATGAGCAAAATTATAAAGCATGAAAGTTGTTATTGGTGACAATCAAGAAACTACTCAAAGTATGTCAAACATATTTTAAAGAGTACTTTTCACAGATGCACAAAATTTTAAAGCCAAAAAAGGGTTATTAATATGCAAGCAGGATTTACATTACTTTTCTTTCATTTTCACTGGTGAGCCATATCCGTATTTCAGGAATTGTAGCATAATCTCAGTGCTATCAGATCAACCCACTTTGAATGATAGCCTATGTATGTGGTATTTATACCAATTAGAGGCCTGACCAGGCTACAAGTTCAAGTGGCATTTTTGTACATTTAACAATAATGGATTTTAATCCCTCTTAAATAGAGATTTGATATGTCTGTATCCATCTAATTCTAGATAAAGTGTTTTTCATCACATTCCAGAGAATGACAAATGCTCATATAAATAGCCAGATACTCTTCTTGGCTTTGCCAGTGTAATCCTGTTTATAGGCTTTATATTTCTTTAGAATCACCAAAGTGATTATATAATTTTAACCACCAAGAATATGTAATCTATAAAATGAATTGCTTGGATAGGACTGCACACATCCTGTTAGTTATGAAAGAAAGCAGTCCAGTTTAAACTTGCACTGTGTTACCAATAAATTTGGTGCTGTTGCAGGCTTGCAGTGACTGATGCATGTGATAAGGCAACTAAAATGATTAAATACATAGAATAGATTAGATCAGGATATGCTCTGTCAATACATAATGCTAATATTCAGTACATAATGCCTTTCCTTTTTCATAGTGATCCATCATTTCTCAACTAAACAAAGAAGAATCAAAGCAATAAAGGAAATGGCAAGGGTATTGATACCCGGAGGCCAGATGATGATTTATGTTTGGGCTATGGAACAAAAGAATCGCCGCTTTGAGAAGCAAGATGTATTTGTTCCTTGGAACAAGGCCTTGTGCTCACGGCATTTTTCAGAATCAAATCAATCTGGAGATAAGGGTGAGTTTGTGCATACTGTAAGAAGCCAGGATATACACCCTGCACAGCTAGTCATCTCTGATTGCAGCTATCCAACCAATCTGCAGTCAGAAATTGATTCAAAACATTCCCACAACACGGACCACTGCTTGTCCAGAGCCTGCTGCATGAAAATTTCTGAAGAAGAAAACAGATTTTGCAGTGCTCTAGGAAGATCTTTCCGTTCATGGTTTTTCTCCAGATCCTTGGATGAATCAGCCCTGAGAAAGCAAGCTGAGAAGATGAAGCCTCTGAAGAGTGAAGGAGAATGGGCAAACAGTACCATATCCATTCAGCAATCAAGACACTGCAGTTTGGATTTAGGTCCTCATGGGACACTGTTAAAAGAACAGAGTTTAGATGATGACGAGGTGTTTGCGGAAAACCTGTCTCTCAAAAAGCCAGAGTGGTCACCAGCCACAGATGCACTGAAGGATTTAAATCTAAATGGAGGACACCAAAGTGTAATTCAGAGCAAGAGTGCAGAAACTTCGTTTCTGAGTGGCCCAGTGGAAGACGGGGACAACAGCTGCAGTTATAATAACGATGATGCTGGTAAGTCTAATGCCGGCAAATTTTTCAGAAGAACGTCAACAACTGACTCCACTGATTCTGCTTTGGATTCAGCAGTGTCTGTTGGGGACCAGACTGCTGACACACCGGATACAAAAGCCTTCATGCGTTATTACCATGTTTTTCGGGAAGGGGAGTTGTGCTCGCTGGTAGAAGAGAACGTGCCTGAGCTTCAGATACTTTCTTCCTGCTATGACCATGGAAACTGGTGCATTATTGCAGAGAAAAAAGGGAAATAGCTGTAAGAAGAACAAAATAGAATTTCAGTAACGGGGAGTTTTAAAAAATAAGATGCTTCTTGTGTTCCTGTGATCATGCGGTATGACAAGGAATTTCAATCTCATGTAGTTGTGTGCCATCCATTTTCAGTTTTACTATCTATCTACCTATCTAGCTATCTGATGCAAGTTCTGTATATAGAAATGTAAACATGTAATTAGTTAACAGTATTTATGTTTTGTTAAACTTTTATGAAGTTAAAATTGGAGAGTTTTATATTGCTTTTAGCAGATAACTGTGATTTTAAATACACTTTTCTATTGAAAAATAAAAACTTTTTATAAGACAAGGAAAGGATCAGGGCATCTTTTGTGAGAAATATCCTCTCAGTAGAAAGTTAAGGTTTGGTTCTTCAGCCATTTAAACATAACTTAAATATGTCTCACATTACTCCCTGTTCTGATATAGAAGCCTGAACCTCAGAGTACTATAGATAGAGGCATCTTAAAATGTACTTGAATGTAGGCTGCTTAACAACGTGCTGCAGAACTGGAGAAAGCATGGTCCCAGTCCTACTTATTTCAGAGTGGAGCTGTTAATGGGCAAAACTGTGTACAAAACCAGCTCTGCATATTCTGCCATTAGAGGTTTCTATTTGTGAGAAAGTAACAGGACAGATTTTGCACAGTATTTTGATCTTTTCTTTAAAAAGCCATTTAACTGGTGTCTCAGGTGCAAGGTAAGTTTTATCTGTTAGCCCTCACAAATACTTTATCTTAATTTCCTTTGCTGTAGTTTTTCTCTGGTTATGTGTACAGAGAAGTCAGAGAGGTTAGTGAGAGTATCAGTATTACATAAAGGTTGCAAGCTGTCAAATACATATCACATATATATCTTTTTCATAAGCCTGGGAAGCTAAGATAAAATTAATAAAATTCCAGTACCTATCTGATCAGCTGTCGTATTTGCTCTCCTTACTCACTCACAGGAGAATATTTACTAAATGGTCTGTTAAACAGTGTAGATAGGAAGAGGATACAAGTCAAGTTTGTAAATAAAATACTGCAAATCAGATTACAAACTATTTTAAATCCCTATCTTCTGCACTTTAAATGAGTTTGTTGAAGTTCCTGATGTCTCGTGGTGTTGGAGACCTAAAGGAAAATTGACTGCTAAAACAGTTTTCCCTTTCCCTGTAAAACATAATTTTTACTGAGCACTGCGTCCGGTCATCATCCAATTGTACCAGATTATATCATTGTCACTCATATAGTCCTTCACACTCAAATAATCTGATCCCTTTCAATGGGGTTGCTTCTGAGGTGAAGTTATATGTGGCATGGATAAAATAATGTCAGCTTCTGGCTTATGAAGATCAGTAATAAAACTGTAACTGTTTTCAGTGGAAGCTAGGTTGGGCTGTACTAACTGCTTTTTTGCATTGAGTTACTCCATTTCTAGGCTTTACTTGCAGTCAGTGGTTTTAGCGCAGGACATGTCTTCTGCAGGGGTCAATTGACATGATTTCTGGACCTTTAATGCAGCTATGCAGATTCACCCCAAACCCCTTTGGAGGTACAACAGATTTAGAGACCTACATAATTAAGATGTCTGCCCACATAATTAAGATTCAGCAAAGAACTCTGAAATACAAAGCAACTCCACTGAAATATCAAACTTCCTGCACATACTTTTTAAACTTTTCCACTCTATGCAGTGTAGGGAGATGAATTTTGGGTTGTTCAGTAGAAAGCCCTGATGGTTGTGACTGTTTTTAGATGTAGCTGCGCAGGAGTAATTACTACATGGTAATGTATTGTATTTTTGTTTGCCAAAGTGTGGCCTGTAGACCAAACATCCTTGTCTTTCTCACCATTTGGGATCCTTGTACTTTATCTTTCCTGGGACTGTGCCAGGTGCATGAGGGAAATACCTGTGTTCCCCACTGCCTTTTGAAAATAAAAACGTGGTCAAAGAACCATGCATCAGAGACTTCTGATATATTATTCCACTCCAAATATTACTTGCAATACAGCCAGGGGCTATGCTTCTTCTTGTGTCCGCGTCTCGCTTCCGAAAAAACCGACAATGTTTCCTGCGTTGCCACATCTGGCTGCTCGCTCTCACAGCCCCATGGCTGCTCCCGCTGTAGCGGCAAACCCCAGTCTTATAGAGCCAGTGCAAAAATCTCCACGTGGGCATATTGCAGAGCCAGCATGGATTGTGCTGAGCTCAACACCTCATCTGCAACGTGCTCATACCCTACCGGGAGACCTGCCTCATTTATTGGGAACGTCTGGATGAGCTTGAGGATTTTAGAAGCAAACCCAGTTGCTTCCAGATAAAATGTGTTAGTGGATATTCAGCAGCCCTGGGCTTTGGGTCACATTTTGGTAGGAGGTAGTTGATTGTCAGCATGTATCCAACTTTGAAACTGTGTCCTTAAACTTCAGCATGCAGGAACTCCGTTATGCATATGCAAATATATTTATAAAAATGTATAAATGTAAGCTGTAAGCCAGGGTTGGTTAACTGGGAAAAGGGGCATTATACTTTGCTATCTGTGCTTCTGCAATCTATCCATGGAGTATTCACTATGTAGTCAAGCAGGCTGATAAATTTGGGGTGAATTAAGGAAGGAAACGTTTCCGTTCTCTTTACAACGGAGACTTATTATCCTTCTAAAAGGCTGCACCTATGTTTTAGGCTCTTGAAAAGACTTCCTGCTCTGTTAGTGGTATGAGTAAGAGCTGTCATCTCAAAGCCACTAAGGTGCATTTGAAGTGCTTTTGTTTGTGTAATTTTCATGCATTGGTTGATTTGAGATTCCTGACTGGGGATGCTTTCCACAATTATTTATTTCTATATTGGATTTTCTCTTGTTTTGACCTGATGCCATTAAGCTGAGTTACATTCAAGGTTTGGATTGCACGGTTATAAATCAAGGGGCAGGGTGGGGTCCGTTAACCACTCTGTTTTTAAATATTCAGTTTTCCTCTGAGGACATATAACTGCCATGTAAGGCAATTGTTACAGCTTGAGGATCAGTCAGAGGAGGTCACGAAATCAAAGGTCTGCACGGCAAGCATCTGAGTCATGCCTTTGTTCAATCTCCCATCTCAGGGAGGCTGCCTACTGCTGTAGCAGCTTTATCAGCTCCCGAGAAGCCAGCGTACTTCACTCAGAGCACTGCGAATATCTCTTTGGCTTGATTTCTCTTTTGATGTGGCCCATCTTAGGCAAAATGTCATTTCCAAAAGAATCCACGTGATCCCAGTCTTTATTACCTTGCGGATATACTTAATGTGCTCAGAGAAGTGTGTTTGCCATTGAAAAGCCTGTAACAAATAACTGAATAGATAAATAAATTCCAGCTGTCCTTACATGCTGAAAATCACAGTGATGTCCAGGCTACAAGATCTGACTGTTTCAAGGTAAAAATGACAATATAGTCCTGTGTTTCTTCTCTGACGGAAGGGCAAAATTGTCCCCCCTGGTTCTGCCAATATCAAACCTTCTATTGACTTCCGTGGGCTAGGATTTCTACTGAGTTGCTCATCTATCTTTTACTGGCACATGGTGATGTGATTGCACAGGAAAGGATGCCCTGTTTCCTTACAATTTAATTTACTAATATCACTGTCAGGCTGAACCAGCTAAACACAAACTGCTACCTTATTAACTCTTAGACTATAATCCAAATGGACAACTGCAATAAAAAAGATATGATTAAACAGAGTTATTTTTGAAGGACTAGTACAACTGCAATATTTGATAAATGATATTTCATCTTTTTTGTTTGTTTGAATACATGAAAATATTTATATTAGAAGTGCAAAAATTATTGGGTTTTTTTTTTCTACAAATGGCAACTAAATTACTTTCTTCCAAGCTCATGGTGTAGGAATTTTAAAAGCACAAGAGAGATATGAAAACCATAAATACTCTAGCAGATCTTTTGTGATATATATTTATATACAAGTTATTTATGTGCACACTTTAAAATCATGCAGGGTGAAGAGATGTGTATGTTATATCAGCAGAGTGTTGTTGGCGAACCACCTCAATAGATCTTGAATAGAAATAATGTCTCTGGTTTTGTGACCGCTCTGCTGTGTCATGCCTGTGTTGGGCCGCATTAGTATCGACATTGTGTTCGTTCTACTGATCTATTGATTTTCTTGCTCAGCACATTTACAGGATTTGTGACCACTTTACTACTCCAGGAAAATTAGGTGTGTCAGTGTTAAATACATACAATTGTATATCTATTTCGTGAGTTTAGCATATCTTATTCTTATAGTGTAGTAATTGTGGCAGCTACCCATGATTTTATCTTCCAATCTGCTGGACAAAACTGTGTTTAGGTACTGCTTTGTAATTAGCTCTTTGTCTCCACATGGACTCTCTTATATTATCTAGTATTTAATGGGAAATAATTCCTTCTTGGTTAAAATATTGTTTCCTACAGAACTTCTATGCTTTAAGATTAGCTAATAAATATGATATTAGCTACTGGAAACTCTGTGTCTGGGAAAGTTCTTGATGAATGTTAAATTTGAGAAGCCTCCGTTAGTGTTATTTGCTCAGTAACAGTCAGAACATGCGGGGCACGTGTAGAGCAGGTAAGCCCAGTAATTTGCTATGAAGCCAGATATTCTGTCTTTACTTTGGATGTCCATAGTCGAGCTAGCCATAAATGTGCCCATTTGAACTATGTAAATGAAGGTGATGAAATGTGATTTTTTGACCACATCACTCCCAGGTGTTCTGTTGATGATAGAAATGGGTACACCTGATGGACCAGTAGATTTAATTGGATCAGAGAGACTTTTCCTGCTCCTCCTGACCTAGTCACAGCACTACAGGACTAAGCTCTTTGGCACAGGATAATACTGAAGCATTTATTTGGGATTATCAATGTTCCTTTTGCACCAATTTGAATCCGAAAAGAAAAAAGAATGTAATTAAAATTATGGAATTACATGGTGAGTTTACAGCTACATTGAGTTAAAAGTGTTTTTAGAATTAGAATGATCATTTCCCATAACTATTTTTATAATTACAGTGCTTGTTTATTGTGGTGATACATTTTATCATAGTAATAGCTTAGGATCTAGTAGTAATTAAGCACTATACAGATGAGGATTAGTACATGCCCTGTAGTACAAAGAGTGTGTAACCTAATATTAGTAAGATTATGGGGAAAGTAGTAGAAACATGGAGTAGAGAGTGGGATGGTAACAAATGTAAATTTAGCAGGGTAAGGAATGGTCTTAATGCAGAGAGAGTGAATTGGGTGTGGTGCTGAGAGGGGCTAGGGAAAAAGGGGCAAATATAGGCAGCACACAGTGAAATGAAGGGGAAAGGCAAGGATTAGAGCAATTGCAGCAGAGAAATTGCAGTCGGCACTTGGATATTCTTAGGATGTGCAGACCCATTCTTCTTGCTTACTGGAGGGTTGAGCTGATGTCTCCCTGCTGCGTTAATTCGAGGGCACATGCAGCGGGAGGAAGGCACCTTGGACCCACCACGTTGAGCTCTGCACTCCTTCCCATGAGCTTCCAGGGCTGGGCGTGTGCAGAGGAAGACTGGTTCAAGATAACCATTTTTCCTTCCTCTTTATTTCCATTGCTTCATTGTGGCATGTTCTGTTTTGATTCCTTTTACTCTTGCTGAATAAAGCAATTATTCAGTTTGCTTTGGTTAATGTGCTCTTCCTTAACTATGCCCACAATATGGGGTTGCATTTGGTTTACTAAGTTAACTGCTCTACCAGTATAGCTGCACTGGTACAAAGTTTGCATGTGGAAAGAGTCATAGGGTTGGGTTGAAAAAGTATTAAGGCACCAAAAGGTGCAGATTTTCAGCTGTCAAAGGATGCCAGTCACTTGCTGTTAGTACTTGTACAATAACTGAAGCATATCATCCAGAGGGAAGAAATGATTACTCTGAGCCTCTCACTTAATGCATTGAGCATGCGTGTGCTGTAGAAGCTTGTACCAGGCATGTGCCTGTATCTTTTGAGTGTTTTACTTGGTACTTGGTTTACTACTCCGGCAGTAAACGTATTTAGCCTTCAGCATGCAGATGAATGTGATTGCACAGCCACCCTTTCCTTGACTGCTAGCCAAGGGCTCCGCTTCTGTTTCTGTTTTCTCCTTACTGAGCATTTCTTTCCAAAGACTTTCCACTTCAGCCACCCTCTCTCCTATTTAGGCAGAAGCAGCCAAACACAAAATACAGCAGTGATGCTGCAGATTACTGGAAATTCTCATTTTCTACTCTTAAATCTCCATTTGCCATGATACTTCCAGGTTGTTTTCATGCTCCTACCTCTGACAGCTGAAGACAAAAGTGAAAACATGACCCTTTGATGCCTCAGAGCATTATGGTAGACAGCAAACGTCCCACAGTGACCAGTTTAGAGGATTGTGGATCACTTAAATTAATAATAGGGCGATAAATAATGCTATCATCTACTATTAATTCTCTTTTTTTTTTTTTAATGTGTCTTTCTCGGCTGTTATTTATTTATCATTGTCTGCACTCCATTACCTTCCGAGGTCTTTAAGCTATACCTACATCTTCTTTGAGGTCCCTAATGACAGCTGATGCCTCTGTCCCTGATGTGGCAAACCTAGGTGAGTCTGCAGCACTGCCTCTAGGAAAGCCCAGCCCTGGCCCCTGGCACTAGCTCTGCAGTTTCTCCCAAGCCTCACCAGCATCTCTGACTCTCCTAAACACATCAGCGTCTCTCACAGAGAAAGGCCCTCTTAAATCATATCCAAATAATTTGATGTAAAAGAGCTAGTAGGGGGGTGCCTCAGCAGCTGTGATCATATCCAAACTGAAGGGGAAATGCAGCAGAAGATGTAGCTGTTCTAGGAGCAGTGCTCCCAGTTTTGAAAAGGCTCTTGGGCACAAATTCTCCCACCCCTTTAGCGCTGCTGAGGAGGTGGCCCGTGCCCTGGCTGCTGCGGGACCCGCTGTGGCAGTACTAGGTTGCCCTCTTCTGTTGTGCCAAAGTAGGTTGATTTGTGCAGAATACTGATGGCAGTTGCTGTGATTGTTTGTACAGCATCTGAAATACACTTTACTGAACGAAGAAAATATGGCCCTGAGACTCTCGTTTAATAGTTTTGAGTTTGCCGTGACTAAAAGAGATGAAGAAGGGGACATAAACAAGCAGCTCTTCACCCTCTCCCTGATAATACCACACATCTTATCAATGTGCTAACAAAGAAATCCACTCATGCACAGTCAGATTGAAAGCTGATGTTTCCACTTTCCCAGTGATAAGGGTCGGTCATGGGAGTCTTTTCAGGAAGGCAACATCATGTTTTGCTCTGTGCCTCTTTTCTGCGTTCCTATCAAAGCCACGATGCTACGTGTCAGAATTAATAAGAATACATTGAGCTGTCATACGTCTGTTTCCTTACCGCAGGACCGACAGGACGGGTAGATTTGATAATGAACATTTGGACAGGGTGAAATAAAGTGCGTTTCCTGTGAAAGGAGGAATTAGCCGTTTGGAAAGGGCAAATGCTCCAGCACAGAGTAAGCATAGCTGCTCAACTCTAGGTTAAACCTTTCTACCTTAAAAAAGAGGCAGCTCAGACTGTTCTGTGGGTCACTGGCCAAAGCCCATGTCCAGTGTGAAATGATGGAGAGGAGACGCTGATGGAATTAACAGCGAGCAAGTCGCATAGAGCATCTCCAGGCTGCTTTACATCGATGTTTCATTCAGTGACAAGGCTTGATGAAGGCCTGTTCCTGGGCTGAGCAGTAGCAACTCCTATCAACAGTAATAGCAGGCAAGAGTGCTCACTGCCCCTAGGGATCCAGCTATTTTAGGAAGACTGGCTGTTCCAGTATTGACTATCAGACCATTTTAAAAGGTTACTCTAATTTCTGTAGCAGTTTAAATAAGGAAGGAACACAAGTATACGTGTATGCATAATATTTTGATGTAACTTTTTTCTTTTTTGAATACATGTAGAAAAATCAAAACAAAGGTTTAACATATATTACAATGCAACTGCAGCTAGTGCTTGGTACAATAAACAAACCGTTCAGTAATGAGGAAGGAAGGACTAACAACCATGGGCACAAACCTACTGCCAGCCAGGGCTTATCTGGGTGGAGGGAGGGGACTAGGAGAACCGCATTACGAGAATATCAGAAAACTGGTCAAACCTGCCTGCTTGAGAACTCTGGTCTGATTCTGGGATTAATTACAGCAAAATCGAAAGGTTTCCGTTGACTTCTTAGTGTCTGTTGCCCAGAAATGCCTATTTACCCTGGAATATTCCTTTATTTTCTTCAGAGGAGAAGCAAAGATCCCTGGAAGGTTTACTTCATGCTCAAATATATGGTAGTTCAGACAGTTCAACTGTGGGGCAATGTTTGCCCATTAATTGTGGAGGTGCATTTTCATAGGCTGTGACCGATAATGCCCAGGGGTGCTTCGAAGCTGTGGTGTTGGCATGTGCATCTAGTCATGCTCTTATCCCTTGCAGAGTGAGACCTTAATTCCTTTCTCTTTCCAGCCTCTACCTGAGATTCAACACGGGGGAAAGAAATATCCGCCCATGAAGGGTAGACTGGGGCGGCAGCATGTTCTGATCAGTTCTTGGAGCTGGGTAATCACCTGGCATCCATATACTTACATACCATGAAAAGTACCTAAAGCTCAGCCAGAGATGCCAAATTAAAGGAGACTTTTCAAATTTACTTGTGGAAAAAAATGTTTCTCTACCTGAATTCGATCTGAATTCCTTCCACTGACTTTGCTGGGGTTTGGATCAAGCCCTAAGTGGGAGCTCTGCCACCAAGAGTGCCTGCTATTGGGATGCAGGTTTTTCTGTGCCAGTGTAGGGAAGCGTCTGTCCACAACCCTGTGTGTCCTCAGACTCACCTTTGCCTTTCAGTTCGCACGAAAGCTTTACAGGAAACATGGAGTGACTTACTGCTGTGCAAAGACACCTTTCAAATATGAGCTGAATTTATAATTGACATCTCTATGAAATATTAAACCAACCATTAGTGCCTCTGAGCAGGTTGCCCACATGAACGCTTCAGTCTGCATTGGATCATGTCTCTGTGGTAACATATTAGGCTCTGGCTTATTGCGACTAAAAAAGCATAAATGAGAACTCACTGGAGAGAGAGTTTCAGAAAATAGATTTAAGTAGATAGATAAATACCAAAAAATGATTTAATACAGCAGTTATATAAATATTTTTAATATTCTTATAATGAAGCTTGAAATAAAGAAAAAGTCCTGCACAGTGATATCCACTTGATGATAATAACTATGGAAATTTCAAAGATGACTGAATGGGAAAGGACCACTGGCAGATAGAATAACAGTATGGGAAGGCGGCATCTGTGTGTGCTCGGGTCAGAAGGGCTGTTCCCCATATGGTACAGGCTATCGGATGCCTCTCTGCCTTTTACAAAATATCAGGACAGAGAGGTGGAAATGTAATCCATTTCGAATACATAATTTCTCTGCGATGTGTTTGTTTTAATTAACCGGTATTGCACTCAGTAAACTTTGGCCGGGCTGCGGTTAATTCTGTCACCGTCCTTACCGAGGTGCCAACCTGCGGGCAATTCAGCCTTGCGGGACTGTGGCAGCCTGCTCTGTCGGGCATATTGTGCGGGTTTTCACCCCAAGAAGGCTAACCTCTGGCTCCCAAATTAAGACACCCTACAAAATGAGTGTTCCTGCTGTGGACAAGTTCAAGAAAAGTCTCCTGAACGTGTGTGCCAACTTCCCCAAAAACTAGTGCAAATTTCTGAATGAACAAGTCGGAAGGATTCCGACATGGGCTAGAGGAAGAAAAGCAATGCTAGGAAAAGCAGTAGCTATTCCTAACAGTGCAGAGGAATGCCACAATGAAGAAGAAAAATATTAAATAAAACTAGGTTAAAAAAAGTTTTAAGGGAAAGGAGTAAAAAAATATGAATATGAACTATAAGGCAGTGTTTTCCTTATATGAATTGGCCAAGAGCCTATACAAGGAACCACAGGAAGTTTCTCACTGACTTTTTTTTTTAAACTGAGAACTGAAAGCTCAACAAATAAATGTAGTTTTACTGAAGTCTAGACTAAAGACACTGCACTGCCTGAGGGGATTAACTGGATAATCAAAAGCATTTTGTGGTTTCTACTGTTCCCAGAGACCAAAACTAGGGACAGAGGAAAATCAGAGTTGGCGAAGATGCCAAACTGGAAAAAGAAATAAAAACAAAAAAAACACTGTAGAAATTGATGACTTTCCCATATCCAGCTAGAGGCCAACTAAAAGTAGCTAAGTATTAAGAAAGACAGAATACAAAGACAGGATCTACAGCTAAGATCTGAAGTTCTTACTTTTCTTTGTAGGACTATAAAAAACTCAGAGGAGTTTAATGCTCAGCACACTCTCTGAAGTTATTAAAATCATACATGACAAAAGTAATATATACTTGGTAAATACATTTTCAATGAGAATGTGAAAACTAGCTTATTCTATAGTGTAATGTAATTATTTAATTATTTTGATAGGCAA